TTCATTGTATGGCTATATTATATTCATTCATCAACTGATGAACAGTTGGGTTTATTTCTACTTTTTTGGGCTCAATAATGCTGCTATGAACATTTGCATCAAAGTTTTTGGGTGAATTCATTTTAATTTTCTTGGGTATGTGAACTATAAGTGGAAATGCAAGTTAAGTACCTCTTGATATCCAAATCTATTGTTTCCAAATTCAGATAGCTTGGGCTATCTCTCACAATGCAAACAACTCTATACTGACCACTCCACTTTCAAACACCTCAAGTCTTCAGAGTCTATACATATTAACTGCAACTTAAGTGGAGGGCAAGGATCAATTCTCACAGTTTTGACCATACAGTAAGGATTTAATATATGCTCATTGATAAATGGACACCCTAAGATCCTCACAAATGTGAGAATCATGACTTATTCATTCCTTCATTTGGCAAATATTTGAGTTGTATGCTTGTTACTGTGCTTAATGTGTACATTGTGGACAAGAGTTAATCAGTTTCATCATATCCCGAATGCCAGTTCAACTCCACAAATATTCCCTGAATACTTATGATGTGAATGGCATTGTGCCGGGTATTTCAGCAGACTTAGACAGGAATAAGATATAGTCTGCAGCCTTTTATGGCAGTGCGTAAACTCTACATACAAAAATAGCAACAACAAAAACAAACACCAGCAGCAGCACTGGATATTAAATTCCATAAGGAAAGCACAAAAAGCTCTGGAGGGTCAATGGGCAGGGTATATATGCTTGGGAGAGTGGAGTGAGAAGGACCGACATCAGAAAATACTTCTTGAAGTTGAAGGTGGTAGGGCTTCCAAGACAATGGCATTTTGACAGATAGAGATTCCTAGGGAAAGAGAAAGTGTTTCAGGCAGAGGATAGCAAGAACAAAGATTGAAAAGGCTAAGTACAGTACAGAATTCTTTTTAAGAGACCAATCCTGTTAGGAATGTGTAGATGGATAATGAGAAGCCTTAGCTAAAGGTTTAGAAGAATCATTTGAAAGTCTTTCTGTAACTATTTAAATTACATTGGTGATTCCTTAATCTCTTCACAAAACTTTTCTATTACATATATTTTCTAAAGTGATCATGGAAAATTAGAGATTTCTCCTTTCCACGAGGAATAAAAAATAAAATCTTGATAGCTAACTAAGCAGGCTGATAGGAGAAGGCTTAACTTTAATAACACTAGCACTGCATCTCCATACTTTTGGGGACATGTAAGGCTTAAAACACACACGTAGGCAAATCCTAATGGTCAAAACAGCAGAAGCAAGATTAGGAATAAAATAATTGTGTTCACTAAGCTCCTAACACCAGTCACTGTGCCTGGTGATTTACACAGAATATCCTCGATCCATCAAACAACCCTATTTAGGTTTATGGCAACTGAGGCTCAGAGAGGACAAGTAAATTGCTCAAGGTAACAAGCTCAGTTAGTAAAAGGTGGACATCAGTTTTGAAACCAGACCTCTCTGATACCACTTTTCTCTACTGCTCACTTTTATTTGTGTTTACTATATAAAGGAGGCCAGAACGATAAGTTCATGATGTATGTATAAATGAACAGGACTACACATTTAACAGAGGGGCTTTCATGGTGTGGAGAAGAATTAGACTGAAATACTCAAAATTGGTTTTAGAATGGCTTAACGATCAAGATCAAGAGAGAAGTTTAGGACTGTTTCTTGGGGGAATATGGACAATGATCAGATGATCAATCTTATTTAGGAATGCCAAGGGAGCAATATTCTACTTTTCATTTGGAGACAGTAACTTCCAAGAGAATATGGGTATTTGTCTCATGGATACAGTACACGTCCCTAGGACAGGGTCTATCCCACAGTAAGCACTCAGTAAACTACTGCTGACACAATGAAAAACCATGTAAGGGGGTATTCTCATTTGAATACGCTTGAAGGTCTTGAAATAGAGATAAAGGCAGCAGAGTAGTAAGTTTAAAAACCATTCAAGTTGATAAGACATTCTCTTTAACACTCAACACGTGTCAAAAACAAATAAACGTACAACAAAACAATACTTGTCAAACATTAGCCCGAATTTTCAAAGTAAGGCGGTTTAGTTTCTTTTGAAACTAAAAGACACTTTTGTACTTTACATAGCATCTAGCACTCTATGGATAATCAAATTTCAGTGAGTTGGAATCCAGAATTTTGACCTATTATTTTAATATTTCAAACTTCAAAAAAAATTTTTTTTAATGTTTTACTTATTTCTGAGAGCGGGAGGCAGCGTGAGCCGGGGAGGGTCAGAAAGAGAGGGAGACACAGAATCCAAAACAGGCTCCAGGCTCTGAGCTAGCTGTCAGCACAGAGCCTGACGTGAGGAGGCTCGAACCCCATGAGCTGTGAGATCATGACCTGAGCCGAAGTCGGATGTTTAGCCAACTGAGTCACCCAGGCGGTCCAGTATTTCAAACTTTTGAGTGCCATACATCCAATGACTGTTTTTGGAAAAGAAAAGGGTTATCTAACCTGAATATCCTAAAGGTGTCAACAATTTCTTTTTTTATAGATGGCAAGCAATGGAATGAAAATCTCAAAATCATTAACTCAAAGAAATAAGAAAGTATACTTACATAAGTCTTTTTCTAATTTTGATACTCTGTTTCTATTAAAACATACAAAGAAAAATGCAACAAGGCGGGCAGCCTTTGGAAGGTAGCAAGCCTCTCTAAAGAAACACTCTCTAAAGATGTAATAAAAACAGAATAAAAGCAAGTCCTGTTATTCAAAAACTTTTCTAATATTTCTTCTTTGAAGGAACCAATGAATAACTACCACTTATCACAAAACATCTTCTTTCAGATATGTGCTGTATATATTACTTTTTTCTGAACACACAGTTCTTCAAGCTGCTCCTCTTTTAGCCGCAGTAATTTTTCTTATATCTATATTCCTGCAATTCTTCCATGGAATAGCATAAAGACCAATTAAAAAACTCCTTTGCTTCCCAGTTTCCTAAAGGCAATACTGCCTTTGTATCTCAATCAATATTTTCACTACATTTTCTTTTTCATTTAGTTTCACAATCTTTGCTTACTTTGATAATTCCCAATACTACAGTTTAATAGTTTAATTTACCAGGGTGACCATAACATATTTTCTTTTATATTACATTAATATGGAAGATAGTGAACACTTTTTTTCTAATCAATTCATTAATACTTGCTTGGGGCAGTCTACATGTTCCTTACTTTCAATTAATAATAACATAGACATTATCAGGTCTCGCCTTTTCAATTATTGCAGAAATTTTCTAGTCTTTCAAAACGTAACTCACTGGGGATGCCTTGGTGGCTCAGTCAGTTCAATGTCTGACTTCGGCTCAGGTCATGATCTCACGGTTCGTGGGTTCAAGTCCTACATTGGGCTCTGTGCTGACAGCTAGCTCAGAGCCTGGAGCCTGTTTCAAATTCTGTGTCTCCCTTTCTCTCTGACCTTCTGCTCACGCTGTTCTCTCTCTCTCTCTCAGAAATAAATAAAATATTTTTAAAAAGTAACTCACTGATCTTAGGGCCTAAGTGTTTTTGTTTTTTAAAAAAAGTGCCTGCAGAAGATTAGAACATATTTTCCTTACTGTAATATTTAGTTTAAAACATATTTTATAATAAACTCTAAGTGCAATAGCTTTTAAAAAGAACTAGAATTAAAACAGCTTCAATTTCTGAGGATAGATTAGGTAACAAATCCCAAAGGAAAAAGTACACAGGCCTTACTCTTGAAAATTCTTTAAAGACATTACAGTTCACTTGATATTCTAAAATTACTAAAGCTAAGATTTCATAAGTTCCAAACAGTTTGATTCCTTCAGTATATGTACACACACACACACACACACACACACACAGTAGTACTTGAAAGGAGAAGCCAAGGAATCAAAATTGTGTTTATTACCACTGTACATATAGTTTCTTATAAAACATTAAGAACGTAGGAAAAATAAAAAGTTCTGTCTTAATTCATCTTTGGTCCTTTGTAGCCACTTTTCCCCCTTGTTTAAAGTCTAGCTGAGCACCATGACCCTCACACCATGGTTTCAAAACACAAAGGGTAGATGCCAGTTTTTAATCGGGGCTGAAATTAATTAAATTACAAAGGGAAAAAATGTACTAAAGCACCACTTTCACAAATGCTCTATGTTCAGTTACATGTAAGAATTTTTAAGGCTGAGGAACTTGTTTTCAGGTACAGAGCAAAATCTGTAGCCGAAAGTAAACAGGTCTAAGAATTTAAGGTAACAATGGTATCACCGGAAGTAACACCAAATACTTTAGTACAATACTTCCATGCTTGTGAGGTGAAAATGCCTCATAATTTATGTAAACCAACGAGTCCTGTAATGAACCACCCCCTTCTCAGAGCTGCTACAGAGTTCCTCTGGCAGGTCAAGGCAGAGAACACCACTGTACCTCACTCGGTCAAGGCTGAACTTGAGTAGGGGAGCAGAGAGAGGTGGGCAATTCATTAATCACACAAGAAAGTCTGTCTTGGAGAACTGAGAAATTTTAACAAGAGTCTTCAAATACTTTGATGAAGGCATTAAAAAAATTGGGGGGGAAGGAAATTTTCCATCTTAAACATGGAAACAAAACTCAAATCCTAACTGGAGGCTGGTGATTAGCACAACTTTGTGGAATAACCCAATTTTCACATAAAACACAAATCCCAAAGCTTTAAGATACCGTCTATGCAAATGGCACCAAGTACCACCTTTTCAAGCCTTCGCCGGCACTGGAAGTGAGTTGGACACCCCCAATCCATCACCCTACCCCCACAGGAAATGGGTTATGTTTTCCCCCTCCCCCAGGACGGCCTTCCTCCCCTCCCCCAACCGGAAGTGGAGCGCCCCCATTCAGACGGCCTCAAACCGAGACGAACCAGTAACAACAGCAAAAGAGAGATGATCTTCAAGGGGTGAAGGGCACCTCCACTGTGGCCACCCCGAAGCTCGCCTTGCTTACTGACCTGCTGACGATAGGGGCGGGCAGGCCCTGGGGCCTAAAGAAAGTCCCTTGCACAGAGGACAATTCCCTGAGCCCCTCTCAGTCGCCTTCACTCTTCTCACTCCGTCGTCTCACAGCATGAAAAAAATTCCTCCGCAGTACTTTATTATGATATCGTCTCTTTCCCTTTATCTAATCGCTTAGCCATCTTCCCATAGGTAACTTTTGCTATCGCAGTAACATTTAAAATTGTTACGGTGAGTAGGAAAATGGGATATTATTCCCCATACCTTCAGAAAAATGAAGGGATTATTTTGTTCAAATGCGGCGAAGGATTACGTGATTACGCAAGGTGAGACTTATTTTCGCAGAGATTTCTGGGAGATGTAGTTTTTTAAAATTGCTAAGGCCTGCAAAAAGTATTGAGACTTAAATCGGAAATTACTCTATATTGGAGTCTTTGGAAACACATATTCTGTATTCGAGGGCAGGCTGACCAGGGAACTTCGGCACCACAAGGGCCAAGTACTTCGTTTCCCTTTTCTTCTGGAACTTAATGGAACCAAAATTTCCCTTGACTCTCGGCGAAAGGTCTTGGTCGCCCCGCCCTCTTCCTTTGGCCACGCCTTCCGCGGCCAGTCAGGCGCCCTCATAGGCTCATCTTTTGGAGGTAGGAACGCGAGAGGCGGGGCCTCACCGTGACTCCTCCCGCAGGGCGGAGGCGAGACTGGGGAGAACGCGGAGTGCCGAAGGCTCGTGCGCGCGCGCGTGCTCGCTCGTCAAGGAGAGTGTGCACGCGGAGGGGCGGCGCGCGGAGCTGGGAGGAGGCGGGCAGGCTGGTGGGCTGGGCGGGCGGCCGGGAGCGCGCGGCCGACTCGGCGGCGGCGAGTAGTTAGTTACTTGTTAGTCAGTGTCAGTTGCTCGGTGGCGGCGGCTGTGGTCACCAGGAAGGGGACAGGCCGGCCGGCGATGGTGGTCACCACAGCGGCATGTGCTTCTTTCAGGTAACGGGGGCAGTGCTGCCCGCGTCCCCTCGGTTCTCTTCTAGTCTCGCGCCGACTTGTGGGACCACGGTCGTCCTGGGGTGAGGGCGCTGACCCGGGGGAATCGGGCGGGGCGGCGCGGGGTCTAGTGGCGCCGCCGCGGGGGCCCAGGCGGTCGGTGCGTCCTGCCCGGCGTGGGCTCCCCGGCCACCCCCGCGCCCCGCCGCCCCCGGGCCCGCCGGCGCCCCCCGCTCCCGCCCCCGCGGTCTCCCCCGGCCGCTGGGGCCCCGGTAGCTCGGCGCCCCCCAGAGGAGGGAAAGTTGGGACCTGGCGACGAGGGACGCCCCCAGGCGCGGCTGGGAGGCTGCTGGGGAAAAGTGAAGCCTGTAAAGAGCTGGATGCGGTGGGGCAGGAAGGGCTTCTTGTTCTTCAGGCTACACGGTCATCCCGCTCCCAACCCAGTAGGATACGGCGCAGACTCGCCAACCGCGCCAGGACGAAACCCCGGGGCTCTTTCCTACCCAACTTGGCCCTGCGTCTTGTGAGCCTACTAACGTGCGGGTTTGCTCGGTTGTTTGGGGATTTTCAGTGGTTCGGTTGGTCAATTTGTTTCTCCTTTGCCCTTTGACTCATCCGTTCTTGCTACTTTTTTTACCTCCCGCGTTGAGGTCTAGCGGTCTGAACCCCCTTCCCTCCCCCGCCCTGTCTCCTGCACCATCCGTCTGAGAATTTGATTTCGTTTTTCGTTCTTTGACAACCTTAAAGACTGCTGAGAGCAACAGGAAAGAGGAGCTTTCCCACCTTTAAATGTTACTTTTTTGCAATCCGATTGTTTGTTTTCAATATCCAAGTTTAAGAATATGAGAGCTGTGGAATGGAGTTACTGGAAGGCTGGCTTTGAGGGGATAGTGACGAGTTAAAACCATGATTTCATCTTTATTGGCTTTGCTATAGAGAACCTAATGCATTTTTCTTGTGCCTCTGTTAAATGTGGTAAGGTTATATGTTGAATTAAATATTTGGAGACTTACATAAAAGGCTATTTTTAGGTCATTGGATGATGTATGTAAACAGCTTTTCACCTAAATTGGGTTTGCCTTGAGGTTTCTGTTTTGGGGCCTGCGTACTGATTTTTGTTCAGCTACAGCTTTTTTTTTTTCTTTCCCTGATAAATGAAATGATGTAGAAATGTGTGTAGTGGGAGAACCCATATTGCTCTCCGCAGCGTGGAAGTGAAAAACGTGAATTATGCACAGGGGTAAAACTTTCCATGAGCAATCTTGGATACTTGCTTCATGATGGCTTCTCCTGTAATCTCAGAACGTTTCTAGATAGCTCAATTCACTGACTGCTTTAATTACTTTCTGAAGTTCTTGGCACTTCTTCTCTTTGGTGACTCGTTTAGTAAACTATAATGGCTGGTATGGTACGTTTTCTTGGCTTCAAAGATGGGAGTTACAGCTTCAGCCCCAGAGATTAATAGTTAACAATGGAAGCAGAATTCATACCATTGCTAGTGAGTTTTGGCTATGACCAACTCACAAACTATGTGAAAAAACAAACATCTTTCCATAGCTGTCGGGGGGAAATATTTTATCATGTCTTTATTTGGCCGATTCCAAGTTGATTATATTATGTGGGAAAAAATGTCAAACTATTTTCTTTAAGGCTTTGTGATGTGTGGTGCTCCTTTCCATCCTCTACCCCCCTAACCCCGCCCCCCCGCCACATAAATATAATCATGGGCTGATATTTATGTTTGGCTGGGTTCCAGGATGGGAAGAAAATATTTTGGTGAACCAAGATACGGATGCTTTGAACTGTTCTGATGCTGAGTTTTACCCAGGGACAGTGCAAAGAGACTTCCTCACAAATGTCTGTACCCCATTAACATTCTGTCAGAATTCATTTTAAAAGCCTATCCTGAGGCCCATAAAGAAATAATGCCACTTCATAACTGTTTCTGACAAGCACATTAAAAAATGTGTTCCTGGAATGCATTATATGTGTACTCATATAAACATTTATTTTTGTACATTTATGGTAATGTAAATATTTAAGTCTGAGGGCTTAAAAACTTTTATCTGCTTATTTGCATACATGTTTTTCAACATCTCGCAGTGCCAGCCATATTTGCCAAATAAGCATCAGCCATAAATTCATGCTTTGGCACATTTCATATAATAACTCTTCTAAATTACTCCATGGTGAAGCATCATGAGATTAGCATTTGCTTCATGAGAGAGATTTGTTGTTGTTTTTAACTGTAATGATGCGCTGCTTAAGTGGAACAGGTGCTGGGCTCTCGCTGTTTGTGTTGAAACCTGCCAAATCATACTCTTTTGTTGGATGGGTTGTTTAAGTAATTTAGGAACCAAACTGTGGCCCCTGGCATGCCAAGTGTGAGTTCAAGGTTCCATATCACTGCTGCTAATCCCTGTTTTCACTGTAAGAGGCAGATGTGTGTGATGAGCTTTACTTTCTCATTGCTGTTCTCTCTTTAATTCCTACTCCTCACCACCACCCCAGTCTTTTTGTTACTGGAGCTCCTTGGAAAGTCTAGGCTCCTTCACTGCTGGTTTGTTTTCCTTGGAGAACTAGAAATTCTAGGAACTTTCAGGTCAAGAATAGATAGTTCATATTTATTTGACAAATATTCTGATTGCCTTTTAAGTGCTAGGCATGGTAGACCCTGAGAATATGTAGAATGATATTCCTTTTTGCAAGCAATGTACAGTTTAGGAGGAGAAGATGGTTGATAACTGATAATTAACAGTGCGATGATCTATGACACAGGTGAAAGTAGATTCCTGTGGATGGAAGCAATAGGAGGGGTCGTTGCCTAAGACTTGGGGTTTTGGGGAAGGGTGGTTCTGAAAGCATCCTCGTGGGTTCCCTGAGCTAACCTGTAAAAGTAGGGCTTAACTAATTTCAGAGAAAGGATGGGAAAGAGGGAAAGGACATTTCAGACTAGTTCTGTTCTATAAAAATATGAGCCACAAATATGTCATATGTGTTTTTGAATTTTCTTGTAGTTGCATTAAAAAAGTCAAATATTATTTACTTCTAACAATACACTATAATAACAATACAATGTTAATATATTATTTAATTTGATATAGCCAAAATATTATCATTTATTTTAACACATGATCAATATTTTGAAAGTATTATTGAAATATTTGACATTCCTCGTTTCATACTAAGTCTTTGGAATCTGGTATTTTACATTTATTTATTTACTTTAAAGTTTACTTATTTATTTTGAAAGAGAGAGAAAGCACAAGAGGGGAAGGGGCAGTGAGAGAGAGAGAGAGAGAGAGAGAATCCCAAGCAGGCTCTGCACTGTCAGCACAGAGCCTAACATGGAGCTTGATCCCCAGAAATGTGAGATTAGACCTGAGTTGAAGTCAGACATTTAACTGTCTCAGTAACCCAGGCACCCCTGTATTTTACATTTGAAGCACATCTCAGTTTAGACTAGTCACATTCAAGTACTCAGTAGCCACAAGGGGACAGCACAGTTTTAGAACAAGGACCAGTAAAGTGGTAAGAAGCCAAAATATTGAATGCCTTCATGTTAAGGAATTTTAACTTTATCCTGAAGGCTGTGAGGATTTAGTGGGGGAAAATATTGTGATGGAATCAGATTTGTGTTTTAGGCCTAACATGTTGTCAGGGAAGTGAATGCTGGATTAGAGAAGGGCAAAACTGGAAGTATGATCAGTGCGGAAGCCACTCTTGGTGAGAAAGGATGAAGGATATAAAGGAGAGAGTGGATATATGAGAGATTTAGGAAGTATTATCAGAAGTTTGGGGTAAATAATCAGATTATGGAGTTGAGCAAGGTTGAAGATTTAGGATGATTCCCACATTTACGTTGTGAGCTCCTGAATGGGGCAGGCAACTGAAGAGAAGCCAACCATCTGTGCCAGGCGGACCAAAGATGAAAAAAGGAAGCTATGAGAGATTTGTCACAGAAGCTGAGGGAGGAGAATTTTTCAAGGACTGGAAGCGGTCAACACTGTATCCTGCCCTGAAAAGGCCAAAGAAGATAAGGACTAAATAAAATCTCTGAGTCTTGGTGATTAAGATGTTATTTGTAACTTTCTTAGTGAAGGTAGCTACATTGTAATGCATTTAGGGGGTTGAAGAGTGAATGACAGATGCTTAGCTAATTAAGTATTAATTAGCTAATTAAGGGCTAATACAGTGTTTTCAGCGGAGAACTGAAAGAAGAGGTTAGGTGGTGGGGAGATGCAAGGCATTTAGAGAAATTTATTCCCCTTCCCCCCCTTTTAAATTGAGAGGAT